TTTTTTTTTTTTTGAGACAGAGACTCACTTTGTCACCCTAGGTAGAGTGCCATGGCATCATAGCTTACAGCCACCTCAAACTCCTGGGTTCAAGTAATCCTCTTGCCTTAGCCTCCTGAGTACCTGGGACTGCAGGAGCCTGCCATGACACCTGGGCTAATTTTTTAGTAGAGACAGGGTCTCACTCTTTCTCAGGCTGGTCAGGAAAAGTTACTTTTTCTCATATGACCACCTGCGACCCCCCTGCTGTGGTGCTGTCACTCTTGTCTGGAGTACACTGGCACAATGACAACTTACCATACCCTGCAACTCCTGGGCTCAAGTCATGCTCCTACCTTAGCATCCCAAGAAGTCCTGTATTCTTTGTTGAACCCCAGTCTCACTAACAGCTCTGGGGGCTCCCTGCAAGGAGGTACAGGGCCCTGTTGTTCCCTCACACTCAGCACTCTACAGAGTCTAATTTCTACATGAGTGCCTTCATCTCTGCTGGAAGGTCAGAGATACAGCCCACAGCAGGTGCAGCATCTATAGGAGGAATGAATAAACCAGGCTGAAAGGGCATTTCCTCTCCCTTCATGACCACTAGTGGACTAGTGTCTACTCAGGGCTGGGTCCCTGGACCCGCACAAAGCCTGTCAAAGTGGCCAAAGGTAGGGATCGTTCATGTAGCTGCCTCCAAGGAGAAGGTCATAGCTTTATTAGTGACTTTCAGAGACAAAGGGGCCCAGCCCCAGGGCAGCAGAAGCAACTCCAGTGGGCTCCAGAACCCACAGGGCCCTGAGCCATCAGCCTCCGCTGGCTAGGGTGCTCAGGAATACTCTTGGGTGAACTTGGTGTGAAACTGGCTCAGCTTCTCCAGCAGCTGCCGCAGCTTCTCCATGGGGGGCAGAATTGTCATCCTGAAAGGAGTAGACCAACAGTTAGCAAAGGCCAAAGGTCCTTATAAGGGCCATGCGTACTAGGCCTCACCGGAAGTGGTAGGTGCCTTCCCGCTGCCCGAAGCCACTCCCAGGCACTACGCAGATGCCAGTCTCCTCCAGGAGCCGAAGGCAGAAGAACATGTCAGGTGCTAGGCCCAGCTCCTGGGGGGCAGCAGGGAGGTTAGGGAGAGTCCCCAGGTCGGAACACCCCGCCCCCGCCCCCACCCTCCCAGCCAGACCTGAGCCCGTTGCACGGCGCGTGGGGGCAGCTGCACACGTGGGAAGGAGTACATGGCGCCTTGCACTGGGTTGCAGCAGATGCCAGGAGCCTCATTGAAGACTTGCTCAGTGAGCTTGGCCTTGGCCGCCAGCTCCGCCAGCACTGCCTGTCTCTCCTGTGGCCATGGAGAGAGGGCTGATCAGGGCTGGCTGGGGGCGGCTCCCCACCCCCACCCACAGGCTCCCCCTCACTTACGGCTTGGAATTGCGCAAAAGAGGGGTCGGAGGGCACAGGCGGGCTGACCACCAAGTCGAGCAGGGCCTGGCCCGGTGCTGGCGGGCACAGCCGCACACTCATCAGCTTCAGCATCTGCTGCCGCACCGCAGCATCCATGTTCACCACCTCCACATAGCCACCGCGGAACCCGCACCTGCGAGGCAAGGGCAGTTGTCTAGGCCATTTCAGGAAGAGGGGGCCAGCGCCACCCCACCAGCAGCCCACACGCACTCGCCCATGTAGCCCTTGGAGATCGAGTGGAAGGAGGCAAGCTCCTGCTGCCCGGCGTAGGGTGACCCCATCTCCATAAGCACCTTCTTGAACGAGTGGAACTGCGAACCCTCAGCGTACACGTTGTCCTGGTACACCTGGAGAGACAGTAAGGGCATTAGGGGGAACCGGCCGCTGCCCTGCTCCCCACTCCCATGCGCACCCTTGCCCACACCTCATCAGCCAGGAGGAAGAGCCGCTCTTCGAAGGCAAAGCGGATCACGGCCTCAATGCACTCACGGGTCTGCACCTGCCCTAGGGTGCAGGGAATGGTTTGGGTCAGCTGAGGGCCACACTGCTGGGCGGCCTGGGCCAGGGTGCAGTGCGGGCCAGGTAGAGGGTGGGCAACGCACCAGTGGGGTTGCCGGGATTGATGACACAGAGCGCGCGTGGACGACAGTGGTCACGCGCCTGATGCAGTGCTCGCTGCAGCTCAGCAACGTCGAGAGCCCAGGCACGCTCCTCGTCCAGGTAGTAGTCCACCTGCACCGCGTCAAGCTCCGCCAGTGTGGCTGAGTATAGCGGGTACTGTGGTATGGGAATGAGTACACCTGTGCGCATGCGGCCCTCGCCAGCCACTAGCAGCTTCAGCACCGTCTGCAGGTGGGATGGAGAGGGTGGGTTGGCAGGGCCTGGGGCTGCATGGTCCCAGCCTCCAGCCTCCTGCCGTTCCCAGCTCCAGGTGAGCACCCTCAGCCAAGTAGGCCAGGTCACACACACAGGACCACTGTGCCTTCCTACCCAGGCCCGGCCTACCACGATGGCATCACTGGCCCCTGTAGACAAGAAGATGTTGTTGGGGTCCGCAGGGATGCCTCCATCGCGCCTCTCAATGTACCGGGCCACGTCCTCCCGTATCAGCTGGATGCCGGAGCTGATGCTGTAGGCTCCTGGAGGGGGAGCGGAGGCGTGCATGAAGGGGATCAAGTTCCCAGACAGCGCTCTGCTGGATGCTACCCACCCCCTTTGCTTCTCCCTGGGGCTAAGCTGGGTCTGAACTGGGGCTTACCTAGGCTGTGGCCCCCGCAGACCTGCAAGATACGCTCTGCCCTTTTCTTGGCATCCTCAGGGAAGTTGGGGCTGCTCAGGAGATCAGGGTTTACGCAGAGGGCCAGGACCTGGGAGGACCAAGTACTGAAGCCTGGGCGCAGGCTGGGGTGAGGGGGCACCACTGGCTGTGCAGGAGCCTCACCTGGCGCAGGAAGGTGATGGGTTTCTGCCCCATGGCCTGTGCGTCCCCAATATTAGCACGGATGACCTCTGTGAAGGGCTTCTTGACACCCTGGGAGGGGAGGGAAGGGAAGCAGCACTCAACTCTGGTCCCATGTGTCACTGGGGCTGAGGCCCTGCTCAACCGCCAGGGTGCAACCAGGAATTGGCAGTGGGGTCCCAGGCCATACCTGGCGCAGCTCCTGCTCCAGCTCCAACGCACGAAGCACTATCGGGCCGCGCACTGCATACTCCACCCTCCGCACACACGGGTTCATGGTGTCCAGCGTCAGCACCTTCTCCTTCAGCCCATTCCTTGTAGCCTGACTCTGGTTACCTGTCCTCAAGGCCATGGTTCTGCTCAGACCAGGCAGGAAGGCAGTTCAGATGGCAGGACCCCAAAGCAGGGAAGGGGGCAGGTGGGTCCAGGCTCCACAGGCCAAGGCCAGGAAGGGGGAGCCTGGCTTGGGGAGATGCAAAGTGAGAGGGCACCCTCTTCGCTGCAGCTTGCTGGTCCCACTGAAAGGGACAGACACGGCTGAAGGAGCTGGGACAGCTGGGCTCCGCCCCACCCAGTCTGGGCACAGCTCTGCCCCAGGAAGCCAGAGGGAGTGGGTGAGGCAGCAGGCGGGGCTTGGGGCGAGGCCCAGTGTCCGCCCAGCGTCCCCATGAAAGGAGAGCAAAGCCCAGATGGGGGGTAGGTGCAGAAATAAGGTCCAAACACTGAAGGACTGAGTGTGGGGGAGGGTAAGCGCCTGGGCCCTGCTCGCCTGGGGAATTGGCAGAGGTAGAAACAGCTAACCCCCAAGGTGAGAATGGATCTTGGGACCATTGGAGATTTACCCCAGTAGGGATCGGCTGAGGGCTACCCCTCTTGGCACCCCCATCTTTGCCTGGGCCAGTGCCCCTGTCTCCTAGGTAACTGAGACAGGCCTCAGGAATCCCGGGGTGTGCTGGGGGAGGGGAGTGAGAAGCTCAGCCTCTGGGTTCCATTGGGCTGGCAGCCACGGCCTGGAGGCTGCAATGGCACTGTGGTTGGACCTTGTTCCCTGATCAACACTGTAGGGTGGTAGACATGTTGAGGGAGGGGGCTGGAGTCAGGCAGGCTAACCCTGGGCCCAGGACACCTCACACCTCAGCTATCCAGATTGAGGTCATGCCCTTCCTCCAGGCACCAGCAGGGGTTGCCCCTGGAACTACACCCCAGGGTAGGGGTGACCTATGGTCCCCTTCACTCTTGCTCCAGATTGGTGGAAAGAGCGAGAAGGGAACTGTGATAGGCCCTTGGAGCCCCACCTCCTCAGGGAGTTGACCAGCCATGCCCTGGCATTGGCCTACTCCAGCAGCTGGCACCTAACAGTGTGTCAGGGCCCTCTGAGCTGGGCTGTGGGCAGCTGATGGGAAACAAGGGGGGTTCTTGGCTCCTCTGACCCTGCTGGCTGGGAGAGAAGCCACCAGGGAGCCCCAGCTGGCTCTGCTGCTAGGACAGCCTGCCTCTTTGACCCCCATGCCCAGGCACAGGTTAATATGGGCTTGGCCCCAGGCAGGGCCCTAACTGGCAGCCCTGGGGCAAGTGGACCCCAGACAGTGGCCTTGCCTCACACACTAAATTTAACCAGCAGCCAGCCGCTAGTCCTCTCCCAGCCCTGCTAAGGACACCCCTGCAACTCTGGATACTAGAGGAAGGGTGGGCCCAAGGGACACTGTGCTGCCCTTGGGTGCCACGCCAGTAGGGAGGGTGACCTGCACCTGTATCCAGAGCACTGGCAGCCATGCAGAGCTACCCACCATGAACATGAGCTGGCACTGCCCTCAACGTTCCTGCTTGAGGTCCCTTAGGAGCCCCTTTACCCTGACATTGTGTCTGGCCAACTTAGAGCAGCTCCCAGCTGTCCTCTATCCAGCCAGGCGGAAGCTGACAGCCAGGCCCCAGGACTAGGGCCAAATGCCAGCAACTGGGGCCTCACCCACTCCTGGAAGAATCTGTGATGCCAGCCTGTACCTGTTCTGCCCCACAACTCATTTCCAGACCATGGTCTCTGCCCTGCTGGTACAGACACTTCAGCCCTGGCTCCCAGGGACCTGCCTTCCAAAGCTCCCTGCTCTTCTCTGGAAGGTAAAGTCACAGAAGAGCCTCAAGGAAGCTGCGAAAGGGTGTGGACGAGGGCCAGCTTCTTGCCCAATGGCTACAGGCCTTACTCCCATACAGGGGCTATGGCTGCCACAAGCCCCAGCATGTACCTACAGGCCTCACTGTACATGGGGATGGGTGGCTCACAGTCAAGCAGCACAACATACTCGCCCCAAGGGGATGGTGGCCCAACTGAGACACACACAAGGCTCAGTGGCCAAATAGCTCTTTACCAGGAGTCAGGGAATAAAACAGTCTTTGCAGCCAGGTACCCCCAGGCATGTCTTCTTCGACACAGGTCCATCCCTGGGAGGGGCCAATGTCCTAGCCCATGGACATCAGGAAGGGTCCATGTTGCCCACCTGTAGCACCAAGGTACACTGGGGGTGGGGTCATGCCACCCAAGCTGCTCACATGAGCAGGCAGCATGGCCTCTTTTCCATGGGAACCTCCTCTGATGGGGCTGTGAGCTTGAGCAGAGGAGGGTCCATGCCCACCCCTAAATCACGGTTAGGCTGAGAACTCTCGCTAGCAGCAGGCAGGACAGATTCAGGGGCCTCAGGCCTCTCAGGACCAGCTCTCTGCAGTTTGGCAGCAGCTCGCTGGCGTTTGAGCTCTGCCAAGGTGTGGTGGGCCTTGTCTCGGACAAGAGCATGAGGAGCAGTGCTATCCGGGAGGCTCAGCTGATAGGAGATGCACCGGTCCAGTCGCTTGGAGTATAGGTGCCGCCCGGGGAGGGGCCCTACTCTACCGTTGTGTGGCCCGACCACCTCAGGGATGTCCTCCTGTGGGCAGAGTGAAGGCCCCAGGGCGTCAGGAGGCTCTTCCTTTTGCCTCTCCCAGCCTGGAGTTCCAGGCTGTGTGGTCATGGAAGGACAGACAAAAGGGGGTAAAAAGCAGCAGCTGACCCTTGTGGGACACACACACCCCCACCGCCTCCAGAGGGGCAGTGCAGAGGGAGAACCAAGACACCCAAGTTGGTCAGAGCCTGGGCCCAGCAGGGGCAAGGTGTGGCACACACCTTAGGAGGAGGTAGCTGGAGCTCAGCATCTGTCTGGTGGTCCTCATCATCCTCAGGTGGCTCTGGGCTAGGGGGTGGTGGCTGTTGCCATACAATGGCCTCCTGGGCATGCTCTTTGCGGTACAGGTTGGTGCGCTGGGTCAGGCTCACTCGCCTTACCACCTTCCTGGGGGTAGGGGCAGAGTGAGGGGAAGACACCACCCACCTCTGGACTCTGCTCCATGAGCTCAGAGTTCCAGCTGGCACCTCACGTCAGCAGGGCTTTGCCCGGACAAGCAGGGCTGGGCCAACACTGGAGGCTCACCCACGACTGCCTGCACTAGAGGTGCGGCGGCGCAGCAGGGAGCGCTGGCGGCTCTGGGCACGCAGGAGTGCGTCATGCTTGTGCTTCAGCTCCAGCAGCTTGGCCCGTACCTCTTCATCCCCACACACATCTGGGGAGAAAAGGGGACAGCATCACGGGAGCCCTCCCTGCCCCGCCCCCCATGGGTTGGAAGTAGACACCCCTGAAGCTTACCAAGAGGTGTCTCGTCCATCAAGGACTTCCCATTCAGGTCTGCCCCATAAGCCACAAGCAGCTCCACGAGGTGCACCTGTGGGCCACGAGCCAGAGCTGCTGGAGGCTCAAAGGCCATGGAGCCCATCCCACGCACCTGCTCCCAGTCCCACACCCACCTGACCCCAGTAGGCTGCTGCGTGCAGTGGCTCCCAGCCATCCTGGTCCTTGGCGCTTAGGCTGGCTTGGTGTTCCAACAGCAGGGCAGCCGCCTTGCCGAACCCATTGGCAGCAGCAATGTGCAGCTGCAGGCAAGGCACCTAGCCTGAATCCCAGCCCCATACCCCTCCAGCAGCGGCCCCCCTAGACCCCCACTTCTCACCAGCGTGGCCCCGTGGTCCAAGGGGGAATTGAGGTCAGCCCCTGCCCGCAGCAGGCTCTGGACATCCTCCAGCAGGCACAGCTCCTGCATAGCCCGGGCCCCCTCAATGCTGTCCTGGGTGACACCTGTGAGGGGCAGGCTTAGTATAAGCACACTGGAGGCTGGCTCCCCCATGGGCACAGCCACACTCACCGCGGTTGGCCATGGCAGTCTCCAAGCAGTCTAACGTCTGCTCATCATCACACAGGTCATAGGGCATATTCCCATCAGTGTTGACCGCCAGGAGATTGGCACCACTGCAGGCAGGATGGATGGGGTGCTGGCCACAGCACCAGGCTCCTCAGAGAGGTCCCCAGTACAGGGCTGCTCCTCAGGAAGGACAGGGTGGATGTGGAAGAGGCGGCTTGGGCCCCACCCACTATAAGAAGGGCCTGGCTCAGCGCCTGTGGCTCAAGTGGCTAAGGCGCCAGCCACATACACCTAAGGTAGCAGGTTCGAATCCAGCCTGGATCTGCCAAACAACAATGATGGCTGCAACCAAAAAATAGCCTGGTGTTGTGGAGGGCGCCTGTGGTCCCAGCTACTTGGGAGACTAAGGCAGGAGACTCGCTTGAGCCCAGGAGTTAGAGGTTGCTGTGAGCTGTGATGCCACAGCACTCTACCCAGGGGGACAGCTTGAGGCTCTGCCTCAAAAAAAAAAAAAAAAAAAAAAAGAGGGGCCTCTGGGCCCCTCAGGCTGGATCCTGAGCTTAAGCCAGACAAGCCATTCTGTAGTCTGCTCCCTGAGGCGCCAGATTCCCAGCAACTGTCTGCCCCCATAAACAAACACAGTGGGCCTGCCTGCTGGGGGACAGCTGGACTCTGGTGACCCCAGGGGAAGAAGGTGGTGGGAGGAGTATGCAGAAGCTCTGCTCTGTGGGCCCAGGGTAATGAGGGATCTGAAGCCCAGGACACAGAAGTGGCTGCCCCTGTGGGGCAGAGGAGCAAGGCCTGTCAGGGACCAGGCCTACAATCTGCATGCCCCAACCCTCTCCCTGGCATTTGTGTGTGGCAGGGACCATACCCACCCATACAGTGCTATCCTTGCCTATTCTGCTCCAAGGATGGCCTGCGCCTGGCCCTCCTCTTGAACTAGGACTCAGGCACAGGTCAGCAAAGGTTAAGGCAGAACCCAGGAGACCCAGGGCCTGAGACCGCTCAGGAAGAGCCACCTGAGCTGCCTTCTGAGGAAATCCCTTCCTGACAGAGGCACCCAGTGGCCCCTACCGGGCAATGAGCAGCTCCACCAGATGCAGGTGGCCGCAGGTGGCTGCAGCGTGCAGAGGTGTCCAGCACTCACTGTCACAGGCGTTGACGTTGGCCCCAGCACCCAGGAGCTGCTGTGCCATCTCTTGGAAGCCATCAATGCAGCACTGAAAACGTAGGGTCTGAGCACCTGGAGGCTGGGGACAGACCCTGCCCTGCCCGCCCACAGCACCAGCTGACCTGGTGCAGTGCCGTCAGGCCGTCTTCATTGGCCAGGTCAGGGCTCACCCCACTCCTAAGGAACTGGCGGACTAGAAGAGGAGGCAGAGTTGGGAAGGGGCTCTGTGTGGCCCGTGCTGTTCCTGCCAGGTCCCTGGCCAACTGTGCTGTGGCCCAGGAACTGGGGAGGGATGGCACAGATGGCACCAAGGCAGGCCAGAGCCAGGGGAGGGCTTAGGAGTAGCAGAGTTTGTCTACCCCAAGCAGCCCACACCCCACAAGCCCTCTGGCTCCAATGCCCGCATGCTCTGCATCACAGACCCCCACAAGCGTCCCACATGAGAGCAGCCCGCCCACAAGCCCACCTGTCACCCCAAAGAGGGGTCAATGCAGCCTGCAGGGCAGGAACCACCTAGAGCCTTTGTGAGAACCCAGGGGCCCTGCCCTCCCACCCAGCCCTGTATTCACCATCCCTGGAGTCCTCTAGCACCTGGGGTCCTACCCCAACCCTGCAGAGCTCAGGCCCCAGCTCTCACCAAGGTCACCAGGGCCCTCCCCTGCCTGGCATGCAGCAGGAGGCCACACCACCTCCCCAGCTCCCTACATGCACCCGCAGCACCCTCTCCCTGGTCACCTGCCTCCAAGCTCCCAGAGGACTCCTGTCCACACAGGGAGATGTAGGCCAGGCATTGCCCACTCTTCCTCACCCTCTTCCCTGGAGGGAGGCAGGAAGGGCCCTCAATGGCCACCAAAATAGCTCTTCCCCCTAGATGCTAGGACACTAGAAATGGTACCCACATAGTAGAGCCCAGCCTTGGGGCACAGGAGACACAGGAGCCCACTGAGATCTCAGGAGGTTCTGACCTGCCTTCTGGTAGGTACCAACTTACTCTATAAGCAGCATGACCAGGGCTCTCCTGAGCATCCCAGCACCCTGGCAAGAGGCAGTGCAGGCTACTGGCCACTCCTCATCCAGCAGGGCCAGGCCCTGGGCACTTCTGTAGGCTCCTGTGGCCCTGCCACTACCACAGCCACAGAGCTCACCACATGTCTGAGTCTGTGTCCAGCCCTATCTGAAGAACAGCTGTCCCAGCATGGGCTGGTCTCAGGGCTGCCCATCACTTGGGGCCAGCCTGATGGGAGACCAAAGGCTATGCAGGCTGAAGTGGCCTGGAGCCCAGGACCTACAGATAGGCCCAGCCTCGAGCCTTGGTATAAGACAGTGCCCAGAGGGCCAGGCAGACAGCTGTCCACTGTGCAAGGCCTGGGGCTCAGTCACACCCACCTTCCTCCAGATCATTTCGGGAAGCAGCCTCCAGAAGGGTAACACTGGGCGGGAAAAGGACCTGTTTCTGGTGCCCACGGCTGATGGCCTCCTTCCGTGGCCGCTCTCTGTAGACCTTCTTACCCTGGGCCTCCTTCTCAGCCTGGGCCCACAGCTTCACCTGCTGGGCACGTCGCTTCTGGGCATGCTTCAGCCGCTCCTGTGTGCTCATCCTGCACACCAGGGGCATCTCTGCCAGCAGCTCCAGGTGCTCAGCCATGGTGGAGCTGCCAGCCCACAGGGCTGCTTAGAGCACCAGAGTAGGGATTTGGGTGCCAGGCTGGGCCTAAGGGGTAGGGCAGCTGGCTGGACTGGCACCCTCGGGGGCATCCCTTTCTCAAGGCTTGATACCCCCTGCCCTGGCACAGCTGGGTCAGGCAGACCCACACAGTGCCCGGGCCACTTTGTGGGGCACAGGCCCCAAGTAGGGAGGGCGATGTGGGAGGTTGCCTACAGCTGGCTCCCCAAGCAGGCCTGCCCTCAAGCTGCTCAGTGAGCTGGGCCTCTGTGTAAGCAGCCTCGCCTGCCTCCTGGGGTCAGGGTGCACAGCCTACAGGACCTGGCTGGCCTCAGTCCAGGGTCTAAAGCTAATCACCAGATAAAAAGCTCCAGCTTCCCGGCACCTTGCTGAGGAAAAGGGAGGGCAGGTCCAATGAGCACCCCGAGAGCCCTCAGTTCACCTTCCCGACCTCAGGAGCGTGGGGAGCCTGGGAGCAGCCAGGGCCCAGCCCCTGACCCTCCCAGCTGTCCATGGTCAGTGCATTGGTACTAATAAAGAGATACAGCCTCAGAGGCTGTGGCAAGGGTGTGGTCAGTCCTGGAGTCCCTGCCACCAGGTGGGCCTGTTGCCAGGTTCTTCAGTACAGCCTCCCTTCTGGCAGCTATGCACACCTGAGGAACAACAAAGAAGCACATCAAGTCAGAGCCAGGTGAGACCAGGCTCCAAGCCTTCTTGGGATCCGCCTGTATGAGGCCCCACTGCCCGCAGATAGCATTACAAGACAACAGTCCTGATGGGGAGTTTCTCTGTTCCCTACACTACATTTGGAAAGGCAGAGAGGCTGTCTCAGGTCCTGTGCACATGCCCTTGCCAGAAAGGGCTATGCAGCTGCAGCTACCCCAAGGGCTCTGCCTGCTCAGGCCTCACTCAGGGCAGAGCCTCCTCCTGGGCCTCCAATCTCACTGTCCAGGACTGAGACCTCTTCCTTGCCAGGCCTCTGACCCAGGCCAGTCAACACTTTGGCCACCCTGAGCTGCAAGGTTGTATAAACAGAGGCACAGGTGCCCCCTGGCTTGAGTTTGTCTGGACAGACAAGCAAACAGCTCCAGCGGGGGCCCTGCCAAGTGCTGCCCAACACTTGGACTGTGGTTGCTGGGCTGGTCACAGGCCTCTCCTCCAAAAGCATTGGGCGTGCTCTGCCCAGAGGATGTCTACTAGGCACATCCTGTTTTTTACTCACCCAGGCCTCTTGACCATCTAGATACTGCCCCAACTTTTCTCTGACCAGACTTCATACAGGATTTCAGTAAGCAACCCCTTCTTCTAGGAAGAAGTTAGGTCCTTCCTGCTCAGGAGCCCCCATTTACCTGGCAGCCCCATTTCACAGGTTTAACTGTCCTAGCCCTCGTCCCCTTCTGCACACCTGGCCTCAGGGACTTTCTGGGGACAGTGCCAGTAAGGCCAGCTGCCTACATCCTCAGCCAGCCAGTGCTTTCCCTCTGAACAATAGCTGCCAAGTGTGGCCACCTTTGCAGACCACTGAGAACAAGGTAAGCACAGGCTGGCCAGATACCCTACCAGCCTCCTGTGTCCTCCGCTTGTCCTCTGGAGACACAGCATCCCCCTGATAGGCTAGGGTCTGAGAAGGCACCCTGACAGCTCCCCATCCATGAGGATGGGGCGTCCAGACCTTCCCCCACAGGACTAGCAAGGTGGGAGCGTCACCTCACTGCCATAGCCTGCCAGGGCACTGACAGAGACATCAGCCCCCTCCCAGAGAGACCAGACCACAAGCAAAGAGCAGGGCTGCCCCTGCCCAGAGTCCCCAGTTTCTGGGCTGGAGAAGGAAAGATTAAGAAGATTCAGCAGACATCAACTACTGCCCCCATCATTTTATGCAGGAAGCACTGACACCCTTGTCCTACAGAAGGGAAAACCACCTGACAGCAGCAACCACTTTACACATGAATACATGTCTTCTGATCGGCTCATTTGGAGACATATCCATGAAAATGTGTTGGAACGTGGCAGGTGAAGAGCCTGAACACCCTCAGCCCCCAGCCCTTCTGGCTAGAGTGGGAAGAACACAAGCTGGGGGCTGCAGACCCAGCCCCCCATGTACTCCCCAATGCCGGAGGCAGCACAGGAGGCTCTGTCCTCCCCCCACACACAGCACACTGAGTCCCAAAATTGGCGGAGCCAGGTTGTTAAAGTCCTGGGAACTCTGAGCAGCCACTCCAGGCTGGAAGCTGCCTGAGGGCAGTCTTCCTGTGGCCTTGGGTGGGTCCCTGCCCTGCCTCCTCCAAGAGAAAAGGAGTTGCCCTGGGTGCCCTATTCCAGGATAACACTCCATCCAGAGGTATCATAAGCGATCAGCTTCCCTAGGCTGATCCACCAACTCCCAGCCCCTAAAGCTGCCTCTGAAGGGGCAGTCCAGCCAAAGTCCATGGCAGGTCTTTGGGCTCCAGAAGGAAAGGCTGCCCCTGCCTACCTGCATCTTGGCTGCCCAGCTAACCTCACCAAGCCTTGGCCCCTCCTCTTAGCCATGAAAAGACTAGGAACAGCCAAAGCCTGGAAGACGCGTCCCTTAGCTGAGCCATGCAGGCTCAATGGCCGGCTCAGCAGAGTTCCACATCACACCCAGGTCAAGAGATTCCCCTCTTAGGCAGGGCAGCTCCCCAGCTCCACTCCAAGGACCCTCCCCAAGCCTCCCTGGAATGTCAAACAGAGATAATCTGGCAGATTTATCCCAGTTCCCAGCTCCAAGCCAGGCAAGCTGCATGGGAGTATGGCTCAGGTGAGAGGAGCCCCTTATAAGGGCACTGGCCACTACCCCCAGCCTGCATATGGGACAGCTGGCCTTCCGCATGGGAGGCCCAGCATCCAGACTCCAGCCCACGCTTCCGGCAGCATCAATGAGAACTAACCCACGTCTGCCCAAGTGCCAAGGCTCTGTCCTGAGGGCCTAGCACCACCCTCATTGCTATAGCCATACCCAGGTAACTGCCAGCACACCACTTTCTACCTGGGGAGACCAAGACAGCTCAATTCAGACCCCCCATCAGCCACTCGGTCATCATGCCTCCTGTGCCCACCTCCCAGCATCCGTGGTGCAGTGAGAGCCCAGAGGCACTGAGGGTATCTGCTTTGTTCACCATAGAGAAAGGGAGGGATGGGAGGGAACCCCGCCTGCCTCTGGGCAGCATAGCAGCACACTACCAGGGATAGCACCAGCCAGCTCAGCCTCCAGGCCCCTGCCTGCCCTCCTGGCTCTGTGAGGGTGCTTAGGGTCGTTGGAGATGGTTCTTGTCACTTGCAACCAAGAGAGTTTAATATTTATATACATATATATATATATTATTTTTTTTTTTTTTTTTTGAGACAGAGTCTCAAGCTGTCACCCTGGGTACAGTGCTGCGGCAACACAGCTCACAGCAACCTAAAACTCCTGGGCTTAAGCAATTCTCTTGCCTCAGCCTGCCAAGTAGCTGGGAGTATAGGCACCCACCATCACACCAGGCTGTTTCTTTTTAGTTGCCATTGTTTTAGCTGGCCCAGCCCGGCCAGGTTTGAACCCACCAGGCTTGGTGTATGTGGCTAGCTCCCTACCCACTGAGCTATGGGCGCCACCCAACCAAGAGAGTTTTATTTGCAGCAGTATCTATAAGAGCAAAAACTGGTAAACATCTTATTTACCCATTGTTTTGGGAAGAGTGAATGATGTGGGCTCGGCTCCTATAGCTTAGTGGCTAGGGCACCAGCCATATACACCAGGGCTGGTGGGTTCCAAACCAGCCCAGGCCTGCCAAACAACAACAGTAACCACAACAAAAAATAGCCTAGCCGGGCATGGGCAGCACCTGTGGCTCAGTG